GGAGCCTGGGTCGGAGCAGGACAGCGAGGCTGGAGGGCTCATGGACAGGTGTTTCCTGACCCACTTTTCTGAAATCAGAGCACCCAGTGTAGACGGAAGACCAGGAGGGCATCCGCCTGCTCACACGGGGTGGCTCCGTGGCCTCTGGAGCACAAAGTGAGGACAAAGAAGGGCCACAGCAGGAAACCAGGAGCCCGACAGGACGGCTGGGGTGGCACTTTGGTGGCCCCCACAGGGCTGTTGGCCGTCCTGTGTCAGCTGCAGCACAGGGTCCAGGCCCGGTCACTCCCACAGCTGGGACCTGCCCTCTAGGCCGCTGGCCGGGTGCAGTGTCAACCTCCCGCGTGGGCAGTGGGGGCTTTCGCACGTCTGTTGCAGGGGTCGCGAGAGCCGAGCACGGCCGAGCTGAACCCACACCTTGTCCTCACACCCGCCTCCCGGCTTCCAGACTCGGGCTACACGGGAGGCGGCACCAGTCCCGATGGGCGCCACCTGTGGTCCCGGAGCCAAAGGACGGTCCAGAGGAGGGGCATTCGCTCTGGGCGGCAATGCCGCTGTCCCCGATGTGCGCCTGGCCTGCCAAGGGTGTCCACGCTGGTTCTGGGCAGGCATGCAGCACCTGGCCACCTGGCCTCCCAGCAGGTTCCATGTGCAACACCTCCAACAGGCAGATGCCTTGGTGGTCAGTGGCAAAGTCCTCAGAGATGCTGTCATGGTGGCAATGCACATTCTGGGCTTGGGAGGGCACGTGTCCCAGGCAATGTGGCCCAAGGACGGGTGTCTCTGACCGACCTCGCCCATCTGAGGAAACCTGAACCCAGGTCGTCCAAGCCACACGCAGGACACTGAGATAACCAACCCAGTGGAGCTGTCGCATGCCTGTACTTGCCCAGAATACTGTCTCAGTGGGACCCAGTGATACAGTAAACTGCGCACCTCTAAGGATACAGTGGACACGAGCCAGAGAGGATACTGGTGCCATTCGTGTTCCCGTGACTAGCAAGCCCTCTGTCCTGTTCCTTCCCCTCTTTTTCTATGTTCTTTTGAATTTTTTTTTTCTTGATTCTATTTGCCTCGTTGGTTGCTGTATTAGCTGTATCTGTTTTGTTTTAGTGTTTGTTTTGGGGTTTACAGTTTAACAGGTTGCAATCTACCTCCAAGTGATAGAACTCACATCAAACAGAAAAGCCACCAGTGCGATTCCCGAGCTGCCCTCCCGGCTCCCAGCCTGCGAGCTGCTGGCAGCACATGTGACACAGCAGGCACGTCAGGACCTCACGCGTGTCAGTCAGTGTTACATTATGCTGATATGTATACCACATGTGTTGAGGCAGCAGTGATCTCGCAAACAAGTAACAGGGCAAGCTGTCCTCCCACAACCTCCAACCCCTTTCCCATCTGCGTCACGTTCCTCCTCCCTGGTCTGTAGTGACAAACATGCAGCTTCGGGTGGATGACAACGTCTTTGTGTGACACTGCTTTTGGAAGACAACTTTGTGAGGTGTGAATTCTAGGTAGGCAGTGTTGTCAGTCATCAGACACATCACGCCCTGACCCTGTCCCGACGCCCATGACTGCCGGCTGTCTCTTGTCTGCCACTGGTTTGCAGTTTGATTATGATGAGCATTCATGACCCCGGGCTTGGGGCTCATGGTCTTCTGTGGGCTGTGGGTTTGCTTTTATCCAGTTTGGGAAAGAGTCCGCCATCGTGTCTTCCGAATCTTGTCCCTGCAGTGTGGGAACGCTAGTACATGTCTATCAGGATACTGACGCTGCCCCACAGCTCACTGGTGTGCCGTTCCTCCTCCGCTTCATTACGTTCCATTTCGGATAATTTGCTGACACGTCAAGTTCACTAACATTCCTGTCAGCCCATCCAGTATCATTTTCATCTCAGATACCACAGCTTCAGCTGGTGTTTTCGTAGCCTCCATGCCATTACGTACCTTTTTGGGACATTAGGAACAGTTATAACAATGGCTGGGACGCCACAGGCAGCGATTCCAACACCCACGTCAGCTCCTGACCCTTCTCATCTGGTTTGTCTCCCACTCGTCCGCTTGCCTATTACTGCCTGGACGTCAAGGTGAACGGACCCTGCTGGGGCAGCAGGTCTGTGGGACCCTGGGAGCCTGGGAGCTTTGGTCCTGGATGGAGTCAGGTTGCCTGCAGCCTGTTTGGTGCTGCCGGGCCTTGTGCACGATTTGGTGGGCGGTGTCGGGGGAGCTGCTCGCTGGAACGCTCCCGCCTCCTGAGTATGCACACCGCGAGGTCCCCGTCCAGTTGCTGGGAACAGGCGCCCGTGTGTGTGCAAAGTGCTCTCTAGTCCCTTCGGGGTCCCCGGTTCTGGGCTCCACACTCACTGTGCCGATGAATACTCTGTTCGGGAGGGGACCCACCTGTCAGGCTCCCGCGGCCTCTTGCACCCCGTCCTGCGAGCCCTGCCTCCATGGCCTGCCCCCTTGGGAGTCACTGCGCTGTGCCCGGGGGACCCAGGCAGGCACCGGGGCAGCCATGGAGCCCACACCGTCTTCCCACCTCGAGGGTCACTGTCCTTTGTTGCTGGATGTGCTGCATCTTGAAATCTCTCATTTCACATATTTTATCTGGTTTTATTATTATTATTTGATTTTTAAATCTGTTTCCTGCTACTACTTCATCTTGTGTGGAAGTGGAAAGTTTTCTTTGTAATAAAAGAAATATTCTAGTTTATTTGGAAACGTTGGAAGTCTACATTTAAGTAAAGTAAATGACATAGGAAGTGGCCCCACCCACACCAGCTGAGGGGTCTAGTTGCACTCACGCAGCTGAGGCTGGGCCCCGGTCTCCTGCTCCAGCTCGTCCTCCCTGATGCAGGTGCGGGCACCATGGGGCCAGGGAGAGACGGCGGGGCTCAGCAGGCCCCCGGGCACACGCAGGGCGGAGGACTGGCTGCTGGAGGAGGAGGTGCTGCTGTCCGAGATGGTAGAGTGCGGCCTCTTGGAAGGGGCGGTGTGGTCACAGGAGGGCACAGCTGTGGACGCTCGGGCTCTCGACCCTGGAAAGGGACAGAAAACAAGCCAGTCTGGCCTGTGTCCCAGAAGTGCGGCCTAGACGCAGAACCAGGCAGGGCCATCTGGAGGACTGGCCGGGTTCCTCAGCCTGCGCCCATGGCAGTCACTATGGGGCCACCACCCATCCAGCCCACCGTGGTGGCCCCCAGGGTCCTGGTTGGGCAGAGTGAGGCGAGGGCGTGGCCACCTCACCTGTTCCCTTCATGATGTAATTGACGGCCCGGTCACTTAGGGCTACGTCGCTGGCCTTGATGTCTAGGAACGGTTTGCTGCCTAACCCCATGGATACCATTTGTTGCATCCTGAGTTCTGAAACAGAAGAATGAAGGACACTTTTCTGAGCCACTCCTTGGGTTTACTACACGCTCAACTGTAAGTCCAGACCAGGAGTGAGTTTGGGCCATGCCTGCTCCACAGTGTCGCCAGGCGGCCAAGGTGCTGGCTGGGGCTCCTGGTCTGGCACACGCATCTGACCTGACCTCACGGCAACCTCTCTCAGGGAGTCGCAGGAGGCAGTCACATAAAGGGAAGACATGGGGCCTTGGGAACTAGGTTTCCGAGTGGGAACAGGAGGGAGGACTCCCTGTCTGCTGGTGAAGGACGTTGAGCTGAGCAGCAGGTCCGGCTTTGAGCAGGGGACAGATGTAGGTGGCCACGAGAAGGACAAACTAACAGGTATCTGTGTGTCACTGAATACTGAGAGGAGATCTATGTACAGGGCGAGGGGCTGAGAATGAATTAGATGTTGGTAAAGCGAGAAAAGGGGAAGAGATTACCATTGGTGGGAGGAGGGAGGGGCAGGAGCAGACGAGGCTGGGGAGGGGACGGGGACCAGCTGCGGGGCCTCCTGCTCCTCGTCAGGGCTGGCTCTGCTCCAAGGCCATCGAGGGGCGACTGGGCACGTCACACAGAGCCACCATGTGCATGAGCGTGCGCACACGTGTGTGTACATGTTCACATGTGTGCAAGGGTGGCCTATGCATCAAGGGGGGCGGCAGTGGGGCTGTGGGGCATCTCTGGCGACAGGTCAAGGCTCTGGCCAAGGTGTAGCCACTGCAGGCACAGGTGGCGGTTTGGCTGTTTGGAC